TTCTGGAAAAAAGTGTCTGCCAAACGCATAAAAGGTTTCACAGGGGGTGCAGCTGAGGCTTTTTTTGGGTGGTTTGACGGTGCAGGAATATATCCAGGAAAAGCCTTATTCTGCTAATGTAGGACAATCCAATCAACTCTAATGGGTTTTACATCCAATGCCAGCGGGCCAGCAGAGCATTACAGTGAAATATAATGAGTGCGAGAGAACAAGAACAATATAGAGAAGGCCTGTCCACTTCTGCCCGTCTGAGCGAGCGCGAGCGTGTCGGAGTGTTAGCTCATGGTTTTGTTTGGTCGTTTTTGAAGGCCCTATCTGAGCCGAGCTGTGCGAGCGAGCGTGGACGTTGGTGTGTTTGCGTGTTTGGGCCAGAATGCAGCCCTGCGAGCGAAATGAAAAGAATGGTCACAGACGAATGAGTGAGCGAGCGAGCGAGAGAGCGAGCGAGAGAGAAGGAGAAATTGGGTCAGCGATCTAAATACCAAGTACGATGTCAACGCCAAATTACACACTCCACTGACGTCTCTCTCTCTCTTTCTCTCTCTCTCTTTCTCTCTCTCTCTGCCTCATTTCATAATCTGCATCCCTGAATTCCTTCCTTTCAGTCTCCAAGAATAAAACATTTTTCTTCTCTTTCAAATGCCAACTTTTCCCCCATTTCTCTGTTTCTCTACTTACAGAAACAGTCTTTCTTTTGTCATTAGGCTTCTCTCTCTCTCTCTTTCTCTGTCTCTGTGTCTCTCTCTCATTTTTACCTTTTCCATTCACACATATACACACTTTGAAGCTGCTGTTTGGTTGTTTGTGTGTGTGTGTGTGTGTGTGTGTGTGCATTTGCATGCATATGTATGTTAGGACCAGGCCTGTCAAACAATTCAAATCATTTATCACAATTAATTACATTATTTTGTGTCGTTAATTACTATTAATCACAGTTATAGATCGATAGACTCATTGTCCACTTTATCAGCTCCACTTACTATATAGGTGCACTTTGTAGTTCTACAGTTACAGACTGTAGTCCATCTGTTTCTCTGATACTTTGTTAGCCCCCTTTTACCCTGTTCTTCAGTGGTCAGGACCCCCATGGACCCTCACAGAGCAGGTACTATTTGGGTGGTGGGTCATTCTCAGCACTGCAGTAACACTGACGTGGTGGTGGTGTGTTAGTGTGTGTTGTGCTGGTCTGAGTGGATCAGACACAGCAGTGCTGCTGGAGTTTTTAAACACTGTGTCCACTCACTGTCGACTCTATTAGACACTCCTATCTTGTCAGTCCACCTTGTAGATGTAAAGTCGGAGACGATAGCTCATCTGCTGCTGCAAAGTTTGTGTTGGTCATCCTCTAGTCCTTCATCAGTGGTCACAGGACGCTGTTGGCTGGATATTTTTGGTTCTCAGTCCAGCAGCGACACTGAGGTGTTTAAACACAAAATGACCAATAATGATTTTAGCATTAAAATGATTTGAGTGGGTCAATTTTTTACAGAAATTATTTGGGCTATTTGGGTGACTATTGAGGTCTACTGTTTGTTAGCAACATAAGCCTCGTAGCTCCAGTTTCTAAACTAAATCAGCAAAATCTGGACTCTTAAATTGTCGTGGCTAATTGGCTACGTTTGGGGTAAAAGAAAAATTGGCTAAATATGATTTTTCACATCAATATAATGAATTAAATATTAATTAAATACAAAATAATTAATTATAGAAATAATTGTTGGTTTCAGCTGAACAGACAAAAAGAAACAAACCATCAGAGAATTATGGGAGATGAGGAAAGGAATCGAGTGGTACCTGATGAGCTCTGATTGGTGAATGATGCGAGCGGTGTGAGCCAGTAGGAGGCGTCGAGGTTAAAAGGTAGGCGGAGCCAGAGGAGCGTCAGGGAGGTTTTGTACCTGACGCAGAGCTTCTTTGTCACGTCTGTAGGAGAACACGTTGGATAATGTGATCCAACAGCATGAAAGATGGATGGAAAACATCTTCCTGTGTTTCTCTCCTTCTGTCTTCCTCTCCCTCTCACCTCTCGCGATGGTGTCGGAGAGAGAATCCCGGATTTGACAGACAAGTGAGAACATGGAAAGCCTTTTATCTTGAATCCCAACAGTCTTTCTCTTGCCACTGTTTTAACCAACTCTCTCTCTCTCTCTCTCTCTCTCTCTCTCTCCCCACCTCTTTGCCCTCCGTCGTCGCGCCCTCGCTCAATACTGAAAGTTAGGCTTGAAATGGTGTTACACTTGTTAGACAGGGCTGAGCTCTGGAGGCTGGAGGATGTGTGAGGAGTTTGAAAGCTAACACTGTTGTAGCTTCTGTAGTCCTTTAGGACCCACTGAGGCCAAACACCTCCACAGCTCTGTCTGCTGAGCTGCAGCCCAGGCCTGCTGTTAGCCTCTATTACAGTGTCAGCATTTCTCAGTGTTAAACTGAGAGTTGGGCCAAAAATCAGCTTCACAGTCGGTCCACCCCTTTACTCCAAATGATGTAGTCAGTCAGCTGAGACAAATAAAAAAATGGCCCGCTTTAGCTGATTTATCCCAAACTTTACTTTGTGTAGAGCTCATCCTGCCCTTTAAAACAAGCCCTGACCTTCTAGGCCACAGGGAACCGGAGATGTGGAGGTCAGAAGTAAAAAAATGGCCAGCCATGTAGGCCACTGAGCCGATTTTGGAGAGCTCCCACCATTTTTAAGTTCTGGAGCCTCAAACTTAACACTTTCAGCCGAATTTCGAGCCTTAAAACTCGACCATGCTTGAAATCTAAGGTCCCATACTTTACACCCTGATAGAGCCCCTCCAGCCCCAACCCTCTAGCCCAGAGGTCACTAATAGGCAGACCACGTTCCGAGTCCGGACCCAGACGCTGTCCTATGTGGACCTGGGCCTATAACCGATAAACTATAGAGAATTATTTAATTTCGATGGGGTTGTCCTATTTTTATCGGAAGCTCACAGACCAATCGCATGCGTCGTAAATATCACATGTGATGCTACTCAGCCAATCAGATCTGTGCATTACAGTGAGCACTGAGACTCGAGTGAGTGACACACACACAGAGGAAGGACGAAGCAACACAGGCATTTGGAGAAGTAAGTGAGCCAGATTAATGTAGCTAACGTGATGGAAGCCTATGCCATAAAGCTATATAAGTGGACAAAAGTTCAGCCAAAATTCACGCTTTTAGATGCTACTAGGACAGTTTTGAGCTTTTATCCACTTTGTTTATTTATATGTGTGGTTGGGTCAGTGTAGTGGCTAACAGCGCTGCCCTGCATGCAGCAGACAGGGGTTTGATTCTCCACACTATCACAGTAAGAGTCATTGGGCAAGACTGCTAATGCTACATCCTCCTACCTCTAACACATAATTTAAAAGTCATTCTGGAAAAGAGCGTCTGCTAAATACATAAAAAGTAATTATGTGCAAAAGTTTGGGCACCCCTGGCTAAATGACGTTTTGTTGATTTTCTAAGTGAAAAGGAGTAAAAAACCCTCCAGAGAGAAAACACTTCCACACATTTACTGTCTGTTTTGTTGAATTTTAAGTTATTGGGAAAAAGTGAAATGTGACCCGTGTAAAAGTTTTTGTATATTTTTTTTCCCAGTGTGCTAAATTTAGCAAATAAATGGAAACTGTGCACTGAAGATAACAGAAAATCTCCATGTTTAATCAACAAAACTTGTCATTTGAGCGGAGATGTTCCAACTTTTTCATACCATTTTATATCGTCACTGTGGGAACAAAACCTCTTATCTCTGAAATAATCACTTTACAGGAGAAGAAGAGAATTGATCTTAGCTTATGATGGAAGTTAATGGAAAGTGATTTTATCTGAATCTGGATCATTTCTACTGGTCCTTTCATCACGAAACTTTGATACAATGTAAAGAGCAGCTCACTTTTTCAAATTAAGTCAAAAAATTAAAAAGCAAAAAGTTAAAGATTTTGTTCCGACAGTGATGAAATAGGTACATTAGCGTCATAGCACATGTATACACACACATTATATATATACATATATATATATATATATTGTGGAAGTCCGAAAAGAGGCATTGAGCTGTTGCTATGATTTTCTGGGTCATTATCTTTAGATAATAACAACTTTGTTATCTTCAGATAACAAGAAAATTATTATCTCAGGATGACAATCCAGAAAATTCTAACTACCTTGTGGCCTCTCTGGACTCCCGTAATATATGTATATATTTCTTTGTCCTGTAGAGTTACTCTTCTGGAGATACGAGGTTCTCTTCTGACAGCGTATCTCCATTTTTGTCGTTTCTCAGTTTTTGACATAATTTGAAAATACATGTTGCTCTTTACATTGTGTGTAAATTTCATGATGAATGGACCAAAATAAATGGCCTGAAATTACTTGGAAAAAATTCTGGTTCCACTGACTTACATTAAAAGTAAAGTAGGTTTTTCCTTCTCCTGTAAAGTTACCATTTTGGAGATATGAGGTTTTCTTCTGACAACAGCGATATATATATATACATATCCTGCATTGATGAAGCTAGTGCTCATAATCTTACAAAATTTTTATTTTTTTAATCACACTTCAGGCCTGACACTTTAACCTGCTCCAAAGTATAATGTGCTCTAGTGTACGTGTGTAAATGTGGTTTTGTCTTTAGCATTGCTTCTTCCATGAGCTGAGCTTTATGCATCATTTAATCCCAGCACAGGCAGCAGGGAACAAAAAAATATCCTCAGTGCCAAATAAATGTAGACGCACTCGGAAGGTTTATTTGATACAGATCATTATGGAGATGGACTGCCTGTGCAGTCATTTACATTTCATTTGTCATGCCATAAAATGCATCACCTGGCTGACTCACATAAGACGGTTCCTACTTAGCCGTGTTTGCCGAGCCCCCTCTGAGTGTGCGGTGCTGACGCACAGGTAAAGCTGACATTTTTCTGAAAATGTTAACCACCCCTGTCAGATTTTCTCCTCATTACCTCTCTCTTTCTTTCCCATATCCTGTCATCCGCAGCCTGTCCGGTGGGCTTCTATAAGGCCGTCGCAGGTTCGGTCCCTTGCTCAGAGTGCCCAGCTAACAGCAGGACCGGCTTAGAGGCTTCGAAAGTGTGCGAGTGCCGCAGTGGGTTTTACCGAGCGCCTACTGATGCTAACAACACTGCCTGCACAGGTGAGCACCCCACAGTGGTGGAAACACATTTTAACCACCATGGGTGACATTTTATGGGGGGGGCAAGGGGGGGACTATTGCCTCCGCTAAAATGTTTGTCAGCTCACTTTAATTATGAAACATTGACGTTTGTCTAAACTCTCTACTATGTACAGAGACTTATCTCCATGACACTAGGGGGCAGTCTGCATACTGATGTGACACGTTTTTTTTAATGCAATGCAATGTACTATCAAAAGCACTGCACTACTAGAAGCTCAAGTTTGACTTATGCGCTCAAAACAACTACCGAGACCCACAACATCCATGGAAGAGGACAGGTGTTGTATCCGATTCAGTTCCCCCTCAAATTCCCGTTCCCCTTCACAAATCAAGCCCTCAGGCACGCATTGTGAAGGGGAGTGTGAATTTGAGGGGGAACTGAATCGGATACAACATTCTCAGCTCCAGAACACGCACTGAAGCGGACCTGCTGTTTGTTTGTTTGTCATCGCTATGGATTTCCCAAAGAGGAGACGAGTGCAGAGGTGTCCCTCTCAATAAAGAGCAGCGTCAACGATTAGCACTTATTAAAGCATCAAATCTAGGCGACAAATAAAAATAGGTTATGTACTTAGTATATAGTTGACTGAAATGGCTTGCCCCCCCATGTCTCAAATGTCGCCCATGACAACCAATAATGTACTTCAATATCTCCATTGTCCAGTTTTATTTTTGTACACAACTTGAGCTCATCAGCGTCACATTTTCTGAAAATTTCATGATGAACGGACCAATAAAAATGCTCCAAAATAGCTTCAAATAAAATCTCTTTACAGAAGATGGCAAAAACCTTTAACTTTTATTGTAAGTTAATGTAAAGTTACCATTTTGCGCATACATGCTTTTCTTTGGACATATATGGTATATTTTTCCCTTAAAAATCTATTTCTTTTGAGTGCAATAAAAACCTTGACCTTTACTTGAGTTTATATCTAATGAAGTATCCAGCTTAGCTGTTTTATTTTAACAACCGTTATAGGGTAAAAACAGAATCTCTGATTTTCACAATAACACATAAAAAACAGGAGCTTTTTATTAAACCTAAAGCTGTTCTATTCTGAATGCCTGTGAGCTAAAATGCTTATGATAGGGTTAGCATAGCTGTTCAATAAAGCTTTGATGTCTTCAATTTTATTCTGTCAAAACATGAGACATTTTGGACGTTAATTTCATTGTAACTTTTTTCTTTTTTTTGCAGCTTCTTAATTTTCTACTTAATTTTTTTTAAAGCTGTGGAAGTTGTACAGGATTAGCATATCGACTCATTTTATGCACTTTTTCATATTATTAAAAACATTGATTCCACACATTTTTACGAGTACTGTATTAACACTGTGTCTGCTCCATCCCCCCAGCCCCGCCCTCCGCCCCAGTATCTCTGACCTGGGAGTATGAGAGCACAGAGGGGGGCGTGTCACTGCGCTGGAGGCCCCCGCTGAACATGGGCGGGCGGAGCGAAGTGTGGTACGGCGTGGTGTGCCGAATCTGCCCCTCTGCCACAAACACACCCCCCAACGCCTGCTCCTGGTGCGGCGAGACCGTCACGTACACACCGTCCCAAACCGGCCTGAGGCAGAGCAAAGTCACCCTCAACAACCTGCTTACCCGAGTCACCTACCTTATACAGGTAAGCAGACGTATTAGCCACTGACCATAAGCACCCTCGGAACACACTGTAACGGCCAGTCCCAAACGGTGCCCCAAGACCTGCAGTCCTCCTCACCAAAGTCCACACTTTGGTGATGTCAGCAAGACGCAGACCTGTGTGGCAAGAGCCCTCGAGGATGATTGGTTTAAACGTACGCATTCGCAACAGACTTGGGTGACATACAGGCTCTATATGTGCTGTACCTGGAATATGAGTCATGCTCATTTTTTTAATAAGCTAATTTGCTTATTTGTGAGACCGTGCCTTCAACATGGTGGTGGTAGTATGAGGGAGAATTGATTGAGGGAGGGGGGAGAACTCCGAGAACCTGGGCAGCTTCTGCCTGTAGCTAGAAGGCCAGACCCTCCTCATAGCTGTAGTAGGCCTGGTGCAGGACTGAGGAGCAGGGAGGAGATGGGGTGGCGGTGGGGATTGCGAACACGTCGTCACAGGAACGGAAGGTGAGGATGTGAATTTACAGGGCGTTAGATTGAAAGAAGGAGGGGTTTCAGCCATGCTCCTCCCCTCAAACCTCAGTTATAACATAACTACATTTTAAAAATCTACAGTGGCTCAATTTAGATCACGAGCATAGAGGCCCAGTCACACCTGCGTATGTCAGTGAATTTCAACATGCTGCCCATGTTGCATGCAAACTACTAATAACCATATAGTTTACAAGAATTAAAAAGTGTAAATATATATTATATTTCCTGACAATAATTTTGGGAACAGAGTCGAATGGTAAAGCTTCACTCATGCAGTCAAATCATTTTTGGTGTGCAAGTTGAGAAAATAGAATGAGAACTCTGACTTGTCTTATGGTCAAAACTGACCAAAAAAAGTTTGACTACACACTTCTATGATCTACAAATAACTCAGCCAGTTTGCACTGTAGTCCGTGTAGTTACTAAATAATGAGTCATAGTGTGTAATAAAGGGATTTTAAGGGGTTAAACATCAATTATGATCCATTACACATTCCAAAATCAATGCAGGTTAATGGCCACTTACAGACTGAAGCATCTCAAAGCAGTGATGCATTAATTTAGGCTTTTTTAAAATAAATTTCTGACCCTGATTTGTAATATTCAGGAGACAGTGTTCTGCAAGCCGGCTCCTTCCCAACAAGCACTGTGTAGGTCCAAAGCCAAGCATAAAACGTGCAGCCATCCAAGCTGTAAAGCTTCAGAGAATAGCTGTTTACAAAAATGGGGCTTCTAATTTAATCTTCAAGGAGTCTAATGGCAGTGCAAGATTGCTATTTTAGAATTTTAACAAGCTATAAAAGAGTATTAGATGGAAATTCGCTCCTCATCACGTGCAGTGGGCCCATGAGAGATGTCCCCTCTGAACTGTTAGGTTAGCCCAGGGGTCGCAACCCAAATGTTAAGAAGAGCCATTTTGTCCTTTCAACAAAAATCAAACCACCTTGGGAGCCACAACATTGTATGTCCATTTTACCATCTTGGCTGTAAATGTGTCTCAGTATGTGCTGATGTACTAGTAAAGGCTCCAAAATATAATATAAACAAAAACTCAGACTTACTTTGCTCTGCTCTAAGCTTTAGCTCAGCTACAGCCGCTTTTCTCGCATCTCAGGCAGGAAACATTTCCTCAAAAGTGGAACAGTTTCTTGTAAAATGTCTCTCAGCATTCAACTTTTTACAAAGCTGAAGTCAGATTCTCATTCGGCAGCTTCTTGTTGGAATTGTCCCCTTCCACCTTAAATGATGCTGCAGTTACGTTCTGGCGCCTCAGGCACCATTTAAGGTGGAACAGGAAAATCAGAACAAGAAACTGACTTCAGCTTCATGCCTTTGTACTGTTTGACAGTTTCTGGTTGCAGATTAAACGTATCAGGAAACCAGCTGGAGTGATTATACATGCCAATAAGTCCATTCGTCTCCAAATTATCGTTGTTTGTCTTAAATCTCTCTCTTTGCCGTTTCGTTAGCTACTAGCTAGGCGAGACTGTTGTCTGCGTTGCTGTGGTGACCAGCAGTCTGCGCTGATCTTCAGGGTTAAAGGGTGAATTAGCAGTTCTACATTAACTCCAGAGTTTAGGACCATTCATTGTTAAAACTGTGTTAGAACGATCAGCAGAGCTTTATTTTAAAAGAGGGTTATTTTATTTTTACCTGAAAATCTAATTTGGCTGTGGAGCCACATGTTGCTGACTCCTGGGTTAGCCTCTAGTGTTCTCATCTGCATTATGTTCATCATATTACTTTATATTTTTGTCAGATGGAGGTTTTTAGAATGGGGTCCTGCTGTGGTAGTTGGTGAGTCCTGTTTAGCCTTAGAAAGGAGAAAAGAAAGTCTTCTGATTGGGTAATTTGGCAGTACCAAATTGTGTGTGTGTGTGTGTGTCTGTGTGTGTGTGTGTGTGTGTGTGTGTCATTACCAGGAAAAATCAAATGCCAAAATCTGCTGACATGATTCAGTTTAAAAGAATCAGCCTTCAGAAAAGCAGTGGGGTTATAAAATGAACAATTAGACTTTGATCCCTGAACAAAGTTTATTTAGTACAAAATGAGTTTGACATTTTCAGTAGATGTCAGACTAATCATCTGTGGAAAACCTTTTTTTTGCCGGATGTGCTGGGTGGGTGCGATATCAATGGGTTAGATAATGTTGCAAGAAAGGAGAGATACATGAAACTATGTTGTTTCTGCTTAACTGTTTCTGCTTTATCACTGTAATATTAAGTTTGAAGTAATGTTGCTGGCTTGCTAAATTCAATATGCACCAATCAGGCACTCACTGTCCACTTTATCAGCTCCACTGACCATATAGGAGCACTTTGTAGTTCTACATTTACAGACTGTAGTCCATCTGTTTCTCTGTGTACTTTGTTAGCCCCCTTTTACCCTGTTGTTCAGTGGTCAGGACCCCCTTGGACCCTCACAGAGCAGGTACTATTTGGGCGGTGGATCATTCTCAGCACTGCGGTAACACTGATGTGGTGGTGGTGTGTTAGTGTGTGTTGTGCTGGTCTGAGTGGATCAGACACAGCAGTGCTGTTGGAGTTTTTAAACACCTCAGTGTCGCTGCTGGACTGAGAACCAACAATATCTGTCCTGTGGGCAGCATCTTGTGACCACCGATGAAGGACTAGAGGATGACCAACACAAACTGTGCAGCAGCAGATGAGCTATCGTCTCTGACTTTACATCTACAAGGTGGAGCGACAAGGTAGGAGTGTCTAATAGAGTGGACAGTGAGTGGACACAGTGTTTAAAACGTATGATATTCCTGTGATTTTCATGTTTAGGTCAATGTGAACTCTGCAGTCACAGGACGAAAATAATGTTGTTGAATTAAAGGTAATAACTGGTTCTGATGAAGCTTATTTTGTCCACTTATACAACTATAACTATTGCTTTGAATGGAAAAAGGGTCAAATTTGAGCAAATAAGATGTGATTATTTATGGTGGGGACAAAATCTGGCTTCTGAAAACTTGGCCTGTTTTTGTACTATTTATGCTGATATAATGGACATGATTGCTGCTGCCTCTTTAGTCCACCTCATGGTCCTGTCTACCATAATGTTGACCCCTTTCTCACTTATCTAAAAGTGGGCTAGACGTCCGTGGCCGTGTGAAGAAAACACTGAAGTGTGGTGTTCATTTGCCAAGCCCATTTGCAGAAATGACCCTACTCATTTCTCTTGACAGTCAGATATAGCGGTTATTCCGTTTGTGTACAAGACCGGCTTGTTCTGCAAATTGTTTTCATTCGGGGTCTCAGAACATCACTGTGTTTGTTAATGAAAGCCAGTTTTAATGTGTTTTAGATGCTCAGCTCACTGATGCGGGTAAGCAAATGAGCGGTGTCCGGTCTAAATATGTTATACATTAACCCTGTGTGACACACCAGTCAGTAAATGAACAAAAGAACAAATAATTCAGGCCCTCAAGGCTGTTTTGTTTTTCCTTTAAATCCTTCTTACTTCTTTAACTTCTCCCAGATAGCAAAGTTATTCTGGCCCAGATCTGGCCCACATGCCACATGGATTGACGGCACTTGGACGGACCACTCCCGGTTGCTAGATGTGGGCCATGTACACACCAGACTAGGGCCACATGTCTGCCAAAGGTGAAGCACACAACTGGGCCTAATCCGGACCAGAAGATGACCATAAGATGTGGGTCGTATCTGGAACAGATCCGCACCAGACTCGTTAAAGATATCAAAATTATTCTGGCCCACATCTCCCCCATTTTCAACCGGCCCACTTGCCGTATGGATTGACAGCACTTGGGCAGACCTCTCCCGGTTGTGGGCCACATACATACCAGATTAGGACCACACTTCAGCCAAAAGTGAAGAAGAAAACTGGGCCTAATCCAGACAGAACAGACAGACCAAGGGACTATAGACAGGCTCATCAAAAAGAAGGTGAAATGCTTAATATTATGATAGACGAGAACTGAAACGAAGCTGGATTACATACAATATTAAGGTCTGTGTGTCTTTTATGTCCATAACTGTCCTTTGAAATCGTCGAGGTCTTCATGGCCCATGATTTTCATTCATGCAAGGACAGGGTATTTTTAAGCAGAGGGGGGGTCTTTCGCTCCTGTCCAATTCCAATGGCACAAAGAAGGTTCTCCAGAGTAAACAACCGTATAGTAAAGAAATCACTGTAGATTCTCATAAGGTTTCCAGTTTTTGCAGTATTTTTCACATTTTTAGTAGCGTATCTCAGCAGAAAAGCCAATCAGTCCATTATATAAATTTCCTGCACTGTTTCTTCCCCCTCAGGGATTGTTGGAGACTCTTTCCTCAACCATTTCCTGGTTATTGCTTTTTTTACTACCTGCTCATTTTGTAGTAAATATCCATCTGGCTTTTTCAGCCCAGTTGGCACATTTCCCGAATTTCTCTGAGCTGATTATTGACCTGCTCTCTGTTACCACATCTACACTCTTAGCAGAAAGGGTTCTTTGGCTTGTAACAATAGTGGAACACTTTTTGGTGCTATGTGGAGCCATCTACAGCGCATTCTCCATCAGTCTGAAGAACCCTTTCATGATGCATAGAACCCTTTCATGATTCTGTATAGAACCATTTTCTTCACTAAAGAACGCTTAACCTCTTATTGACCAGGGTATGTTTTGGTTTGTCCATCTGAATTTACACGACCAAATCGTAAGGCAGATTATTCAGTATCTGCATGAAATTACTGTACATTTTTATTTATTAATTAATTAATTAATTTTTTGTAAAAGTTCCTCTCAAATTAACAGAACATGTGTTTTATGATCACATATATTGCTATATGCTTACAATTTACTGCTGAAAGCCAAAAATCTTAGACGCTCTTTGTATTATTTTATAAAAGTAATTTTTACAGAGCAGATCACTGAAGAAACGCCATCTGTTTATAGTTTATAGCCCAGATTTGTGGAAAAGTTCAGCTTCTTTTATTATAAGGGTTTAAAATTACATCACCCATCTATCTGATTGGATAGAAGACAGTTACAGCTCTCATACGACCCCCACCTTTAGAATGTAGCTTATGAAATATGAAAGTTACGAAGAATATGACGAAGTGCGTTTTGGAGCCACCGGTGGTTCCAAGGTGTTGAAAAGGTTAAAGAGCGATAAATATTAGGACACTCCCAAAAAATGTGAAACTAACCAGCCACACATTCTCCAACACTGACCCCGTTCGTTTATTATGGGGCTTACGTGGCTAGACACGTTTCAGCTGTGCACGTAGGGTCGGTTGCTAAGTAACAGACACGACAGTTGTTTGTCGACTTCAATCGAGAAAGTTAAGAACTTGAAATAAGAAAAGATGCTGTAAGATAAGATAAGATTAATAAATTAAGATCAGTTTTGCTTCTGTAATACGAATTTGTGAAAAATCTTATCTTGACCTGTCAGATAGGAAGTTTGTGTAATACTACGACGGCGTTTTAGGGCCACTTTTAATAAAAATAAAAAAGTAGACTTTGAGAATAAAGTCGTAATATTTTGAGTAAAAAAAGTCGTAATATTTCGTGAAAAAAGTCGTAATATTTTGAGAAAAAAAGTTTGTAGCTTTGTATCTTTGTAATTTTTGGAGTTATAAAAAACCTTCAGATGTTTTTGGAGGTGAACTCCCACAGACCTGAAGCTGAGACGGTAGACTGTGTCCTGCATGTGTTTCTCCAGCCATCTTCAGTTAGCCTGCTGTTAGCTTCTTTCTCCTGCCTTGATTTAACATATACTGTGGAAAGACCTCTTTTTGCCATGTTTACAGATAACAGTGTGTCATACAGTGTCTGAAACCATGTGAGCTGGTCTGTTAGAGATACTGAACATCTCCACATGCTTTGAGGCGAGTGTGATTAAGGCGAGCAGCACGATGCTAACTGGTCGGCGGTTAACTTTGCTTGTTAGCTGCGTTAGCCTGGCCATTAGCTCTCCAAGAGTAAAGAAGCTTCTTGACTTCTGGAAGAACCAAACATGTCTTGACTGGTTTGGAGTGAGGGGGTGGGGGGAACTGTTCATTTTTGGTTGAACCATTGCTTTAAAGACGAAATGCAGAACATTATGTGGTGCAGCGCCGTCACCACAATCAAAAATAACCTGTACTGCAAACAGCAAAGCTTTTTCTGGATTATAAAATCATAACTACTGATTTGTGATTATATTTGATTGACAGGTTCAAGCAATGAACGACGTTTCTGGCCTCAGTCCCTTCCCACCGCAGTTTGCTAGTATCAACTTCACCACCAGCCAATCAGGTGAGAGAAGAGAGGTTTGTTTCTTGTAATGTGTATCTGTGTTAACGTCTTTCCATCAGCCTCGGCCTTTCTGAGGGCTTCTTAACCCGAATCAGTGTCGTCTTTAATACTCTGTACACTGTTAGAAATAAAGGTTCTGTTCAGGTATGTTTTTAGTTCATCAAGGTACAAACAGTGTAAATGTTCCCTCAAAGCTCCAACAGTGGTTCTAAGGTCTGATTGTGAACCTTAAATAAGTTTTTCCAGGTGAAAAGTTTGTATTTGTACCTTTTCATAACCGAATGTTTTAAAACAGAACAGTAAAATAAAAGCCTGGAGACGAGACGGGGTGTGTGGAGTCAGTACAGCTTAGAACATATCATTTCAGTGGATTATGGTTCAGTTATGTTCCCTGACTAAAGGTACTGAGATGAACCCTTGAGGGTCCCACCCCAGTGATGAGAGGGGAACTGACCCAGAGACAGTTTAGTACCTTTATTTCTGAGAGTTTAGTTTATTAGCGGCACAAATATTTGCAAGGAACTTTAGAGATAATCACCAAACATAGCAGCCTTTTTGAGCCTGTACACTTACAGAGATGCTTCTTAAGGGTTCCTTAGTGAGGGCAAATGGTTCTGTTTAGAACCTTGGGTTTTATATAAAACCATTTTAATGCTGAAATGGTTCTTTGCATGGTGAAATGTTTCTTCAGATTAATGTAGAAGTTGTTGTGTATGGTTTTATGTAGAACCTTTTTGAAAAGGGTTCTATGCTCTTATAAAAGATGGTTCTTCTAGGGTTTCTTTAATAAAGAAAATGGTTCTATATAGAACCATGAACACTCAGAGAACCCTTTGCATTGGTAAAGCGTTCTTCAGATTGATGGAGAATGTGCTGTAGATGGTTCTATATAGAACCTTTTTTAAAAGGCTCTTTTTTTTACAAGTTTGACATCATAACAATAGAAGAACTCTTTTGGGTGCTATATAGAACTCTATAGGACCATCTATAGCACATTCTCCATCAATCTTTAAACAAAAATATTTGATGTATGATGTAAACATTGTAACATTTATTGTTTTTGTGATGTAGCAAAAACCGACATGTTTACATACATTTGCCTGTTCAGCCCGTAGCAATTTAGCCCCGCCCATTCATGCTGGAGTTTTTGAATGAGAGGCAATGAAGGGCAGCCAATCAGAACAATGCTCATTTAAATATTTCAGTCTTAAAGGCAAAACAAAAACACTCAAAGAACCCTTTGCATGATTAAAAGGTTCTTTGCATCATGAGAGGGTTCTTCAGATTGATGGAGAATGTGCTGTAGATGCTTTTCGAAAAAGGTTCTATATAGCACCATATAGGGTTCCACTTTTGTTATAAGCTGAAGAACCCTTTTTCGATCCTCCCTTTTGACACATAAATCCATGAAAATCTCACTAGTGGACCTTAGGGGATAAAATAAAATGCAAGAAAAACTGTAGAAAGTGGGCCCTTTAAAATAAATCATCAGCAGTGAAAAGATCTTTAGATACGGCTGATATTTCATGATGATATTTGATGACATTTAATATTTGATATTTGACTCCAGAAGAAAATAACAATAAAAATGGCCTCACTGTGCTGTCATATCTGAACCCAACTGAAATAAACATATTTCTCTGTAATGCGAATCCAGGTAGTTATAATCCAGGGGCTCCAGGTAGTTATAATCCAGGGGCTCCAGGCAGTTATAATCCAGGGGCTCCAGGCAGTTATAATCCAGGGGCCGTATTACAGAAAATTCTTAAGTCTGAGATGATATCTTATCTGCTTTGTTGTCATGCCAACTCCAGTTAAGACTGAAGTTAAGGACAGAAGCCATTACAGAACAACATCTCTTAAGTCTATAATCTTATTTCCAGATAAGAAAACGGTTTTACAGAAACTTCCTAAACTGCCAAAATATCCTAAATATGTTCTTAACTTTAAGATAAACCCAGAGCGTCTTGTTTTACGCAGTGATAGGCAGCACCCCAGATAGCGAGCATCTATCAGTCCCCTGGCTTGATAAGGTCAGCACCCCGCTGACTGTTTGCCACTGCTGGTCCACCCTCGGACCACCCAGATTACTGTCCTGCATACAAGTTCTAACTAGTTTTAATCTCCTCAAACAAATTTTAAATGCAGAGAGACTTTTATTACAAATTACTAATATTACAAACATCTAAGAGAAAACAAATTAATGACTAGGCCTAATATAATATATATATAAATATATATGTTTATAGAAAGCGTTTCTGATGCTGAGCTGGATTAAAATTATTTACTAAACTAATTTACAGAGTATAACTAAAAAAAAAAAGAAGGAAGGGAAGATAAGTTAATCGGACTGAGTGGAAAATGAGCGATGGTAAGTGGAATTTTGTCTAATACTCTGCTTAACTACTGGTGGGCCGCCTGAAAAACGCTGAGCTAAACACCAGTGGACCACCAGCTTTGCCATCAGAGGGCCAACAGTGGTCCAATATCCTCTTGCTATCAGGGACAGGGATTTTATCTACACTGAAAATGGTGCTTGGACTCGTTTTTTTCCAACAGCGTTTAAAAGCCCCAGACGCTGCAGACTCGATCTCCACCGTCCCTCTGATCACCTTCGTGTCTTAATGTTGATGATGAAATATTACAGTGATGGTGGTGAATAATGAGGAGATGGAGCTGAACGTGTGTCTGTCTATTAGGAGGAGTAACGTTAGCGCGCTCGGCTAAAGCGTTTGGCGACGCTCTGATGAACAGCAGGGGGCGCTCTCACAGTATTCATTTCTTACAGTTTATCACGCTTTAGTTTTATTTGACCTTTTTTACATCAGTAACGGTAGCTAACGTTAGCTGTCTCACTAACTAACTTCATTACGTTAGGATCAACGTTAGGATTAATTTAGGATCAGATTTGCTTCTGTAATACGAATTTGTGAAAAATCTTCTCTTGACCTGTCAGATCTTAGGACAAAAAGATAGGAAGTTTCTGTTATACGGCCCCTACGACGGGATTTAAGGGCCACTTTTAATAAAAATAAAAATAGTAGACTTTGAGAATAAAGTCATAACATTTCGAGAAAAAAAGTCGTAATATTTGGAGGATAAAGTGGGCTGTACTGTAACTGTAGGGGGGCTGCCATAACGCGTTGGGGTCTCGGTTGCTGTACTGGCGCCGGAGCTCCACTCACTCCTGTCTCTCTGTGGATCATTCTGATCATCATTCTCACTGTCTGTGAAACTTCATGCCCTCTTTGAATGGGGGGAGATGCAGCCCCCGATAGCCGTGTAGACGACCCTGCCTGAGATTCTCCTTAAACAACACAGACAGACAGTTTCCTCCGAGTCCGTCTGGCTCTTTATTCTAGATAAACACAGTTTCCTGCTCCGCTGTTTCAGCCGGTTCTTATCCTAATAACAGGCTGGTGCTGATGTGCAGGAGAGACAGGAAGACTGAGTGTTTCTTTATGGGTGAATCGATATGAAAGTAGAACTCCCCCAACTCACCGCCCCTCATTTAACACCAGGAGGTGCTGCTTCCCTTTGTAAAGACTTTGGCCACAATACTGCGACCTTTCCTGGTCTTAATGCCACTTTAATGCCGTAATTCTACAACTTTTTTTCTCGATATATTAGGTTTTTTTTCTCAAAATAGTACGACTTTTTTTCTCGAAATATTACGACTTTTTTGTCGAAATATTACGACTTTTTTCTAGAAATATTCTATTTTGATTTTTATTAACAGTGGCCCTAAAACGCCATCGTAGGCCCCAGATATCTATATTTTGTAAATGTTTATTCATCGGTATGAAAAATATCGGCCCACAGTCGCCATATTCTGCCTCCCTGCCTAGGTTTTTATCCACATCCTGCAGACGTGACGGGCAGACAGCAAGATGCCCACATGAATGAGCTTGCAGACCACTGATCTAAACGGATTTGTGTGATCAGAGTGGGTGTGTTTAACTGTGATAGTGTGTGTGTGTGTGTGTGTGTGTGTGTGTGGGTGCGCTCTGGGTGTGGACGCATGTTAGAGTGAGTCAGCGTGTCATCTTCTCCCTCCTTTATTTTCTCTTTGTTTTTCTCTTTTGTTCCTGAATGCTTTTAGCTCTCTCCTTCACGTCTGAGTGTGCAAGTGTGTGCTTACTCTGTGTATCTGTGTCTGTCTGTCTGTCTGCCGTCTGTCTGTCAACTGCTATCAGTGTCTTTTTGCCTCTTTCTCCCTCTCTCTCTTCCTCTCTCTCTCTCTCTCTCATCATTTCCCCTTCTTGGCTTTCTGGACTCAGGTGGCTTTGGGTCACGATATCCTGTCAGCTCACATAATGGTCAAGAAAGCAGAAAGAGAGGGAAAAGGAGAGAGAGAGAAGGAGAGCGAGCGAGAGGTTAATCAGTGTGGCAGTTCGCAGAAACTTTGGGAACAAAAGACACAATTCAGGCTAACCGCCCCCTCCACACACACACACACACACACACACACACACTCACACGCACACACACACACACACATACACACACTCACATGCACACACACACACGCACACACACAGACACACACTCACATGCACACACTCACACACACAGATTGTGTTTCTGTCGTCCTCACTCTCACGCTCTCCCTCCGTACTGATCTCTCTCAGCAGCCCTGCTGTCTTTCTTTGCCTCTCTCTCTCTGTTATAACATTGCTGGACTCGCTCACTCGTCTGCTGCTCGTTCGTTTCATCATTTTTTTGACAGTTTAAACCAGCGATCTGCAGGTTTGTGCATGCAGGAATTTTGGTGGATGAAAAAAATGTCCTTTTTTATATTAGTTTTCTGCTGTTTTTTGAGAAATTACATTATGTATTCACAAGTTGTGAGTACATTTTACCATGAAAACACAGGCCAATACATAAACCCCCCCACCCAGGACCCCCAAACAAGGACATCCTCAAAAAGGAGAAAACAAGAACAGAGAAAAACTGGACATATATTGTGCTTGACTTTATTACGTCCCCCTCTATACAACACACTATCTGGAGATTTCTGCTCTAAAGAGGACTGACCTTTTAATATCGTACACGTTTCAAAATGAAGGTTCTTCATGGTTCTTCAGTAAAGAAGATGTTATATATAGCTATATAGAACCATGAATGCTTTGCATGATCAAATGGTTCTTTGCATGGTGATATAGTTCTTCAGATTGATGGAGAATGTGCTGTGCATGGTCCTGTATAGAACCTTTTTGAAAAGGGTTCTATATAGCACCAAAACGGGTTCCACTACTGTGACAAGCTTGACATCGTTACAATAGAAGAACCCTTTTTGGTGCTATATAAAACCATTTTCTTTACTAAAGAACCCCTGAGGTGTGTGCTGTGAGTTCAGGAGGCAGGTGATACGTGAAAATTTGTATTTATTTATTTATTTTTAAAAGGTTCTATGTAGCACCAAAAAGGGTTCTTCTATTGATACAGGCTTGACATCTTAACAATAGCAGAACTCTGTTTGGTGCTATATAGAACACTTTTCAAAAAGGTTCTATATAGAACCATCTGCACCACCATTCTCCATCAGTCTAAAGAACCATTTCTACCAGAGAACCCTTTAATCATGCGAAGTGCCTTCATGGTTCTACATAGAACCATTTTCTTTACTAAAGTACCCCTGAAGAACCATAATTTTGAGTGTGCTATGAGTTCAAGAGGTAGGTGATGCATGAAAAAATGATTTTTTAAAAAAAAAGGTTCTATATAGCACCAAAAATGGTTCTACTGTTGCTATAAACTTGACATCTTAACAATAGCAGAACCCTTTTTGGTGCTATATAGAACCCTATATAGAACCATCTACAACACCATTCTCCATCAGTCTAAAGAACCATTTCATGATGCAAAGAACCCTTTAATCATGCAAAGTGTGTTCAGGGTTCTATTTAGAACCATTTTCTTTACTAAAGAACCCCTGAAGAACGTGCTGAATGTGCTGTAGATGGTGCTATATAGAACCTTTTTGAAAAGTGTTTTATGTTGCACCAAAAAAGGTTCTTCTACTATGACACTTTGACAGCGTTACAGTAGAAGAGCCCTTTTTGGTGCTATATAGAACCATTTTCTTTACTAAAGAACCCCTGAGGAACCATAATTTCCAAGTGTGCTATGAGTTCAGGAGGCAGGTGACACATGAAAAAGGTTTTTTTTTGGAAAATGTTCTAAATAGCACCAAAAATGGTTCTTCTGTTGTTATGATGTCACGCATGACACAAAAGAACAACCGTTTTTCGTGCTATACAGAACTCCTTTCAAAAAGGTTCTGTATAGAACCATCTATAACACCATTCTCCATCAGTCTAAATAACCATTTCATGATGCAAAGAACCCTTTAATCATGCAAAGTGTGTTCAGGGTTTTATATAGAACCAATTTCTTTACTAAAGAACCCCTAAAGAACCATTTTCAAGTGTGCTATGAGTTCAGGGGGCAGGTGAAAAGGGTTCTATATAGCACCAAAAATGGTTCTTCTATTGTTACAGGCTTGACATCTTAACAATAGTAGAACCCTTTTTGCTGCTATATTGAACTCTTTTCAAAAATGTTTTTTCTACATAGAACGCCATTCTCCATCAGTCTAAATAACCATTTCATCATGCAAAGAACCCTTTAATCATGAAAAGTGTGTTCAGAGTTCTATTTAGAACCATTTTCTTTACTAAAGAACACTTGAAGAACCATCTTTTTAAGAGTGTAGTTAGTCGGTCTCCAAATTTTCATAAAGAACAGGTCGTTGCCCCCGAGTTCTGCAGCTTGTCGTTCATAGAGACGTATCCTAAATGTTTCCTCATACCTCTGAATAGCAGAAGGGAGTGTCTCTCTGTTAGGAATGCACCTCTGAGGTCATTTGTAGGCAGTTTGTGATGTAAAGGAGGGACCGAGAGTGCCAGTAGAAATAAAACAGGAGCTCTTCTGTAAATCCCAAGAGCCACAAACGCCCAAAATATTGCTTATTACTTATATTACTTACTATAATTAAGTTGCATATATTCAGTTCAAATGTTAAAATACAGTACATAACCTTTGTCATGAAAAGGTAACATGCACTTTTACTTACACCGGTCAGGCATAACATTATGACCACCTCCTTGTTTCTACGCTCATTGTCCATTTTATCAGCTCCACTTACTATATAGGTGCACTTTGTAGTTCTACAGTTACAGACTGTAGTCCATCTGCTTCTCTGATACTTTGTTACCCTGTTCTTCAGTGGTCAGGACCCCCATGGACCCTCACAGAGCAGGTACTATTTGGGTGATGGATCATTCTCAGCACTGCAGTGACACTGATGTGGTGGTGGTGTGTTAGTGTGTGTTGTGCTGGTCTGAGTGGATCAGACACAGCAGTGCTGCTGGAGTTTTTAAACACCTCAGTGTCACTGCTGGACTGAGAATAGTCCACCAACCAAAAATATCCAGCCAACAGCGTCCTGTGGGCAGCGTCCTGTGACCACTGATGAAGGACTAGAGGATGACCAACACAAACTGTGCAGCAGCAGATGAGCTGTCGTCTCTGACTTTACATCTACAAGGTGGACCGACAAGGTAGGAGTGTCTAATAGAGTGGACAGTTAGTGGACACAGTGTTTAAAAACTCCAGCAGCACTGCTGTCTGATCCACTCGTACCAGCACAACACACACTAACACGCCACCACCACGTCAGTGTTACTGCAGTGCTGAGAATGATCCACCACTCAAATAGTACCTGCTCTGTGAGGGTCCATGGGGGTCCTGACCACTGAAGAACAGGCTAACAAAGTATGCAGAGAAACAGATGGACTACAGTCTGTAACTGTAGAACTACAAAGTGCACCTATATAGTAAGTGGAGCGTAGAAACAAGGAGGTGGTCATAATGTTATGTCTGATTGGTCTTTATGCAAAATCCCACAGGAAGTTTCACTGCTCAAATGTTGCTCTTTAGCTCAGGAGGGTTAAAGGTAGCTCTCCTAAAACTCCATACGACAAATAGCATTAGACAAGTTATTATTTTGCCAATCTGAGCACAGCGTGTGACTTTACTGATATCCGTATTATGGCTTAAGGAGAAATACCTGAGCAGCAGAGTCTCCTTTGGCAAGTCCTTTGATTTATTGAAAACTGTAGGTAATGAATCTACAAAAGTGACTAAGCAGATAAAGAACACTAAAGACAAAATATTTAGACAGAAAGAAAAGAGGAAGGGACGTAAGGTAAACTGGTAAACAAAGGAGAAACAACAAAAAAAAATTAAGGCCTGAGAGGAACAGATACGTGGAACAGACCAGAAACACCTGTGACTAATGAGAGGGCTACAGACAACTGACAGGTGAGACAGATGATAAGAGGGCAGGGCTGGGGAGGAGACAAAGACCAGAACAACAACAAAAGCACATGGAAGAAGACACACGAGGGAGATAAACAAAGGCAGAGACAGACAGAAACAAGGAAGGACAAAGCAGAAAGACAGGATGTTACAAATGTTAGATATAAAACGGTCTGAGGTGATGAAAGGGCTGAATAAAAGCAGAATGGCATCGAGACAACATTTTATTTTGCATTATAACGTTTTCCTCAGTATCTAATAACAGTTGAAATAGCAGTGAAGGCTCAGAAAAAGTTGGAAAATGTACTTACAGACTCAGATGTCTTTACAGTGGTGGTGATAGGAACCAGGGGTCGCCATGACTACAACACAGATATAGCCGTTTTATTTAATATCCAAAACCTCCAGTGAACCTACAGGACTCTTCTGAGTTCTATATGTAACACTGATGATGATAAAATAGTCAAAATCTGAAAAAAATAAGCTTTCTTTGGGGGCTATTTTGCCTTAGAAGACCCTTCTTGTATCCCTCCACCATGAATAGATTAAAATAAACGGTTTAAAATATGATTTAGACTGAAAACCTTATCACAAAACTACAGTGAAACAATGTCAGACATCAGGCAGTGAATTCATAACCATTTCATGTAGTAACTGTCTGTGAGGGAGCTTTTAGAGGTGGACGTCTGGTTCCTATCACCACCACTGTGAACAGTTCTGACTCTGTAAGTTTCTCTAGAACAGAGCGTTTCACACCAAACCACTCTGAACAACTCTGTTTACATCTTAATCATTTGATTATGCAGAAAATTTTGAAAATCGATGGAGTTCCCCTTTTATTGTCCATGCTCTTCCACATGATTGACTGAGAGAATGATATGTTGCAGTGGGGGGTAAAGTGGGGGGGGGCATTGTTTCTCAGCTCAGAGTGAACGTTTAACTTGTGATCTCAGGGTTGGGGAGGATTCAGATATGAAGTGTCACCTACTAATAGAAGTATTTTTCTTGTATTGACAGCTTTTCCACATTTTAGAATAAACAGACATCATAACTATGAAATAATGACCAGTGGCCAAAAAGTAGACAAATCCAAACTGTCCAAAAGTAGCCCCCCTTTGACTGGATGCAGCTTCATACACGCTTAATCATTCTCCCACGCAGCTTCATGAGGATCCACCTGGATGATGAAGATGCGCATGTGCTGAGAGAAAATGCTTCTTGGGGTCATCAGTTTTTATTTTTTTACATTAGAAATTTTAGTTTAGAAATCAATTCACACATAAACATTAGTTTTACTGTTTCTATTTGAACACATTTTAAGCATTTTAACATGAACCTTTAGATCAAATTGTCTTTAAGATTATGGGAAACGTGAAATCAGATGGGCCCAAACTTTTGACTGGTAGTCTAGCAGATTTGATACTGTAGGTTTTTAGTGAATTCATTTGAATGTCCAATGAGTTCTTTTTAGATTATATCAAGTCTGACTAACTTGGTTTGATGTCATACGTTGATGCCCCCTTGTGGTTACTGTTATAATGACACCTGTTTCCCTCTCCTTCTCCCTCTCTCTCTCTCTCTCTCTCTCTCTCCCTCTCTCTCTCTCCCTCTCTCAGTACCCTCTGAGGTTCCTATGCTGCATCAGTTGAACAGAGCTCCGGACTCCATCACTCTGTCCTGGCCTCAACCCGACCGGCCCAATGGAGACATCCTGGAGTACCAGCTCCGATACTACGACAAGGTCAGCATCACTGTGGCCGACCCGGGCGGTTCCATCGCAGCTACAGCCTAATATAACACACCCTGCTTATTAAGGCTTATTAGGACGAGGGACGTCCTGATCTGATCTGAAATATCAGGATACAGTGGTATTTTAAATGATCGATATCAGCTGCATAGGCTGATTCAATTCCTATGCAGCCCCTGAAGGGACGTGGTGTATTTTTATTCTAGGTAAATATCAGGTGAGCACACAATACTATCAAGTGAGCACCAGATACTATGTGGTGAGCACCCGATACTATCAAGTTAGCACCAGATACTATGTGGTTAGCACCCGATACTACATACGTGGTGCGCACCTGATACTATTAGGTGAGCACCAGATACTAATGGAAAAAAATATACACAGTATATGGTGCTCACCACGTAGTATCTGGTGCTCACTTGATAGAATCGGATGATCACCTGATAGTATCAGGTGCTCACCATATAATATTGGGTGCTCACCTGATAGTATCTGGTGCGCACCAGATTTTTACCTAAAAAAAAGAATACACCATGTCGAACATTATCCACAGCGGTTCAGTGCACACTTAAAAAAGATGGTTCTTCAAGGGTTCTTTAGTAAAGGCAATGGTTCTGTTTAGAACCATGAGCTCTGCATATTTCATGCTTTAATGTTTCTTTGCATGGTGAAATATACACTTACAGCAGTTCATGGGTTCTTTAGTAAACGAAATGGTTCTATGTAGAACCATGAACACTCAAAGAACCTTTTGTAGGATTAAAAGGTTCTTTGCCTTGTGAAAGATGAAAAATCATTCTTCCATTGTTACAAGCTTGACATCATAACAATAAACAAACCCTTTCTTGGTGCTATATAGAACTCTTTTCAAAAAGGATCTACACAGAACACCATTCTCCATCAGTCTAAAGAACCATTTCATGATGCAAAAGACCCTTTCATCATGCAAAGGGTTCTTTGAGTGTTCATGGTTCTATATAACCATTTTCTTTACTAAAAAACCCTTGAAGAACCATCTTTTTAAGAGTGTAGTTATTCAGATTGATGGAGAATGTGTTGTATATTGTTCTGTATAGCACCAAAACGGGTTCTGCTGTTGTTACGATGTCACGCTTGTAACAATAGAAGAACCCTTTTTGGTTCTCTGTAGGACCATTTCCAAAAAGGTTCTAAAGAACATACAAGACATCTCCATCAGTCTGAACAACTATTTTACCATACAAAGAAACATTTAAGCATGAAATGGTTCTGTAAAGAACTCATGGTTCTAAATAGAACCATTGCCTTTAAAGAACCATCTCTTTTGGTTTTGTAGTGAACAAAGTGGTTTAAATATCTGCAGCAGCTGCTTTAAAATGGAAATGAAAAGCTGTAATTTCAGTAAAATACTGCTTAACTAGCTGCAGGCCAAATTGGAGTGTGCTGCTATTACACACTTAAGCGTGTTGAAACGAGATAAAAGCTTAGGTTATGATAGAGTTAGTATTAAAGCATAAGGATCAGAGGCAAAAACAGGTTTGAGCCCCCAGTTGAGACGAGAACAGTAGATTATGTTTATGCTATATCGTCATTCTTTGTGCATAAGCAATGCTAATGTGACATTATAAAATGGGTTCCTGCTGTTCCCCTGCAGGGCTCTGATGAGAGCAGCGCGATGAGCGTATTCAGCGAGACTAACACGGTGACGGTGCCCGCTCTGATCCCAGGCTCCATCTACGCCTTCCAGATCCGTGCCCGCAATGAGAGGGGCTTCGGCCCCTACAGCCACACCACCTACTTCAGCACTCTGGCTATGGGTAAACACTGCTCCACCAGCTGGAGCTCTTCATCATAACCCTGTGGAGGACAGCTCCACACTGTTTCTCTATATCCTCAGTACAGCTAAGCTCTTATTTCTACATAACGTACTTCAGCACTTAGATCAGGGGTCGCAACCCAAATGTTAAGAAGAGCCATTTTGTCCTTTCAACAAAAATCAAACCACCTTGGGAGCCACAACATTTTATGTCTGTTTTACCACCTTGGCTGTAAATGTGTCTCAGTATGTGCTGATGTACTAATATAGGATAAAAATATTATATAAATGAAAACGCAGACTTACTCAGCTCTGCTCTAAGCTTTAGCTCAGCTATAGCCGCTTTTCTCGCATCTCCGGCAGGAAACTTTTCCTCAAAGTGGAGTAGTTTCTTGTAAAATATCTCTCAATGTTCAACATCTTACAAGGCAGAAGGCGCTTCTCATTCGCCAGCTTCTTGTTCTAATTTTCCCGTTCCACCTTAAATGGTGCCTGAGGTGCCAGAATGTAGCTACTGCATCATTTAAGACGTAACATGAAAATTCAAATAAGAAGCTGGCGAATGAGAAGCGACTTCAGTCTAGTGACTTTTTAGTGTTTGTCAGTTTCTCATTGCAGATTAAACGTATCAGGAAGCCAGCTGGAGTGATTATAAATGCAAATAAGTCCATTCATCTCCAAATTATCGATGTTCGTCTTAAATCTCTCTCTTTGCCTTTTCGTTAGCTACTAGCTAGGCGAGACTGTTGTCTGCATTGCTATGGTGACCAGCAGTCTGCGCTGATCTTCAGGGTTAAAGGGTGAATTAGCAGTTCTACATTAACTCCAGAGTTTAAGACCATTTATTGTTAAACTGTGTTGAACGATCAGCAGAGCTTTATTTTACTGTAAAGGAGGATTATTTTATTTTTACCTACAAATCTGATTCAGCTGTGGAACCGCAACAGGGCAGATAAAGAGCCGTGTAACTCCACCACACGACTCATTTTTTCCCCTTAGCCCAAATCCAGCCACGACATGCTTTAATTTAGCACTGGAGCTATGAGGCCAATGTAGCTAACACATAGTGGAAGCTTGTAGTTTATATCGCCAGTTTAGCCATGTGCAAACCTTCTGAAACTGTGACACACTGACCTAAAAATGGACATACATTGGAAAGCTAAAACAGTAGCAGCAGTAGTAGATAACTTGAGGCCTGAATATTGTCCATACCTTTGTCCATTTTTCAAGAAAACATTATGTCATACAGTCTCAGAAGCCACATAAACAATCTATCAGACATTACTTAGCAACTCAATCCAGTTTGAGGCATGTATGTGATGCAGGCTGGCAGTTTGCACAGTGCTAATTGGTATGAGCTTCCAAAACTAGCTACATTATCCTTGCGCAAAACTAAAGAAGCATGTTTTGGTACATTTTTAGTAAGAAACATTTTTAGTAAGATGAAAATTGTGTAATTTTGATTTTTGTCCATATGTCACCAGTTTAGCATTGTGCAAACCTTCTGAAACTGTGACATGCTGACCTAAAAATGGACAAATGTACATTACACAGCTAAAAAATAGCAGAAGTGGCTAACTTGAGGCCTGAATTCTGTCTGTATGATGGTCCATTTTCAAAGATAACCTTACATTACATTATATATGGGTTATATTAGCTACATTATCCTTGAAGCTCCAGTGCAAAGCTAAAGAGGCAAGTCTTGGATTTTTCTCCAAACTATCTCCTTATTTCTATATCAGCAGTGTTACATCACATAGTCCTGATTTAGAAACATGCCTAGTCTTTAGTCTTTAGTGCACTTGTACGGCTGGCGACCAGGAGCAGGTAAAAGAGGAGTGGTTAAGGTTTAGGGAATTCACCAGAGTGTGTGAGTAAGAGCTTTATGTGGTCAGAAACTGAAGTTGTCCTCATTGCTATCTGTGTCCCTGTAGAGGAGCAGTCGAGGAGACTTCAGAACCGCCTGCCTCTGCTGGTTGGCTCTGTGATGGGCGGGGCTGCGTTCCTGTTAGTGGTGGCCGCCATTGTTATTGTGTTTGTCTTCAGGAGGTAAGCGTACATTTCAGTGTGTAACACTTAAATACACAATACGTCCAAAAGTTTGTAGACACCTGCTCATCGGCTTATTCTGAAATCAAGGGTATTAAAGCAACACTATATAAGATTCAGGGATTTGGAGACCTCTCTGGTGGAAATATGTAATTGCACACAACGTGCACAAGTGGATGAATCTCACTTTTTGGGAGTGCATTGAGATATTATGAAATGAGAAAAGACAGACCACAGGACACTTTTCCACTTGACCTCATTTTCAATGAGCTCAGGCCCAGAGAAGGTGGCAGCATTTCTGGATCCTGTTTATATAAGGTTTCTTTTTTGCATTTTTTAAAGTTTTTAAGAGTATTCAAAGAGAACTCAGTCAAAACTTCCATCTTCCGAAGATATGAATACATTTTCCAATATTATCTTCATATCTTTAACAGTACATTGATTTTGAGGCCTAAACATCGGGCTGGACCGTCTTTTTGAGCCTCTACTTGTGACAAACAAAAATATTACATAGTGCTGCTTTAATAGGGAGTTTTTTTCCTCATTTTCTGTGGTAAAGTCTCATTGCTCCTGGGGAGGCTTTACAATAGATGTTGGAACACTGCTGTGAGAATTTGATTGCGTTAGTAAAGTCAGGATGTTGTGTGATCAGTTCTGGATCACTCCAGCTCATCCCAAAGGTACTGGATGGGGCCCAGTGCTGGGGGGCTTTATAGCCCTCTAGCTTGACTCTCGGCATTGTGACCTTGGAGTGCACCAATCTATAGGTCAGTGCTTTTCAATGGAAAGTAAACAAGATGCAGAATTCACTCACGGGTTGTCTGGATACTGCTGTACAAACACTGTAGACCTACATACTGTATGAACTGGCTATAAAAATGGTTAAATATTAATGTAATGCTGAATTGTAGCGATAGTATGTACTAATATGTACTTATATGATAATACTTGTGGTGATGTTGCAACTGAAATTCTCACTGTTTTCCCTTCACTAGTAAAAGGAGAGAAAGCCATTACAGCGACAGACTTCAGAGGTATATTAGCAACCGAGGTGAGCAAACAAGTGTTTGTGTGTATTTTTGTACATACTTATATTGACTGTTGTTGCCCTACAGTCTCTCCAGCTATAGAGTCTGTTGACGTGTGGCTGAATAGACCTTTTATCCATCCCTAATGCAGAGTGCGCTGTAGGAAGCCTTTTATCTATAGCACAGTTACCTCGGGGGCATTAGAAGAGAACTGCGTGGTACATTTCTTTCCACACTGTCTACATTAGACTGCTCGGGTTTTAATGTAGGTTAAAATGCGCTTATGAGCAAATCAAATAATTCATAGAACAATATATAATACGGGTGAATCAGGGCATCAGACTAAAGGTGGAAACTGCACTATTTTAGTTTAGGTTAATTATATATGTTTGGATTAATTATAATCCATGATAATATTCAATAAAGCATGAGTGGAATTCATTTTTATAATTGTTATTAGCTGAAATGAAATTCATTGGCTATTTTCAAACTTAAAAAAAAAAAGATCAACTATTGTTTTAATTGTCTGTTTTCTGCTGATGTGTAAACAGTTTTAAACATAATTCTGAATCGTACACACTTAAAAAAGATGGTTCTTCAAGGGTTCTTTAGTAAAGAAAATGGTTCTGTATAGAACCATGAACAGTCACAGAACCCTTTGCATGATTAAAGGGGTTTTTGCACGGTGAAGTGCTCCTTCAGATTGATGGAGAATGGTGTTGTAGATGTAGATTCTATATAGAACCGTTTTGGAAAGGGTTCTATACAGCATCCAAAAGGGTTCTGCTATTGTTATGATGTCAAGCATCATGACAGAAAAGATAGAAAAAGTTATATATATATATTCTGTGTATAGAATATATTTTTTATTCTATATATTCTATATTTGAAGTTTGACGTTGTAACAATAGCAGAACCCTTTTGGTGCTATATAGAATGTTGTACAACACGTTCTCCATCAATCTGAAGAACCATTTAATCATGCAAAGGGTTCTTGAAGTGTTCATGGTTCTATAAATACTTACAAAAGATGGTTCTTCAAAGGCAATGGTTCTATTTACTTCTTTTTGAAACTGGTTCCGGGTTCTGCTACTGTAATTATGTCAAGCTTATAAGAATAGAAGAACCCTTTCCGGTGTTATATAGCACCATTAAAACAAAGTTCTATGTAGAACCATATACAGCACATTCTTTATCAATCTGAAGAACCATTCCACCATACAAAGAACCATTTAAACATGCAAAGGGTTCTTGAAGTGTTCATGGTTCTAAAAATACTTACAAAAGATGGTTCTTCAAAGGCAATTGTTCTATTTTAGTTCTTTTTGAAATTGGTTCTGAGTTCTGTTGTTGTTACCATGTTAAGCTTGTAAGAATACAATAACTCTTTTGGTGCTATATAGAACCATTTTCAACAAGGTTCTATATAGAACCATATACAACACATTCTCCATCAATCTGAGGAACCATTTCAACATACAAAGAACCATTTAATCATGCAACGGGTTCTTGAAGTGTTCATGGTTCTATATATACGTACAAAAGATGGTTCTTCAAAGGCAATGGTTCTATTTACTTCTTTTTGAAACTGGTTCTGGGTTCTGCTATTGTAACTATGTCAAGCTTATAAGAATAGAAGAACCCTTTTTGGTGCTATTTAGAACCATATACAACACATTCTCCATCAATCTGAAGAACCATTTCAACATACAAAGAACCATTTAAGCATGAAATGGTTCTATAAAAAACTCATGGTTCTAAGTAGAACCATTGCCTTCAATGAAGAACCCTTGAAGAAGCATCTTTTTTGAGAGTGTAACAAATGAAACCAATCGAGGTGAAATTTTGATGTCATGATGCACTGAATCATTTTCTAATAAATCAGAATCAGATTGAATCATATGATTGAATCTTATGATGTCATTTTATGATGTGTTTATTAACACATGAACGAGGTATGGAGTAATGTGTTCCAATTAGCAGCTGAATCAGTTCATTGATTCATTGAACTCATATAGGGGGAAGATTCTGATATTATTCTGAGGACGAACAAACGTTCAGCGAGTGTTTTTCTCCAGGGTGTGTGTTGCGTGCTGCAGAAGCAGAGGTCACATTATTTAGCATGGCCTCAGGAGAGAGAAAGGAGGGCACTGTCAGTGTTGGTCTGCTGCAGGACGGGTGACGGGCTGCTCTTTTGGGGACATGACGTCATTAACAGGCACCCTATGCTTTCTTTAGCCGGAGTGAAGTATTACGTGGACCCTTCCACCTACGAGGACCCGAGCGAGGCTGTCAAGGAATTCGCTCGAGAAATCGACCCCGCTCACCTGAAGATCGAGGAGGTCATTGGTGCTGGTGAGTTGATTGATCGTAAAAAATAATAAATCATAATAAAAAGGCATAAACAGGTTTTCACAATGGTTTGAGAATTTATTAAAAATTAAAAAAACGGAAATGTCGTATTTACACAAGCTTTCAAACTCCTTGCTCTGACCCATCAAATTGAGTTCAGGTGCATCCTGTTTCCATCCTTGAGATGTTTCTGTAATTTGAGTGACGTTCAGTTGTGGTAAATTCTGTTAATTAGACATGATTTAGCCAAGCACACATCAGTCTGCATCAGCTATCAGAGGAATTGTCTATAGAGCTCCAACACGGGATTCTCTCTAGGCATGAATCTTGGAAAAGGTACCAAAAGAAGAACCTCAGAGACTCTTCATAAAGCTGTCCACTTTACCAAACTGACCAAACCAGGGAGAAGGTCTTTAGTCAGGGACGTGACCAAAAAACCAGATGGTCTGAAGGAACTTCAGTGTTGAGGTGGAAGAACCTGCCAGACAGAAAACCATGTCTGCACTAATCAGGGCTTTATGGTTGAGTGCCCAGACGAAAGCCATTCCTCTGTAAAAGGTACATGACAGCTCACTTGGTATTTACCAAAAACACCCAACGGACAAAACTGGTCTGAGGAAACCAAGATGGAACTTTGGCCTGAATGCCAAACCAATCACTGCTCATAAACTGGCCAAGTCCATTCTTACAGTGAAGCACAGTGGTGGCAACATCCTGCATCAGGATGAATGGATCAAAGTACAGAGAAATCCTTGAAGAAAACCTGCTTAGGAGACTCAGCACCTCAGACTTGGATCGAAGGTATACTTTCCAACACAACAGTGACCCAAAAAATAGCCAAGACAATAGAGTGACTTTTTGACTGAATGTTGAGTGACCACTCCAGGGGTACAGTGATGATCTCCATCCAACCTGACAGAGCTTGAGAGGTTCTGCAGAGAGGAATGGGAGAAGATCCCCATATCCAGATGTACTGAGTAAAAGGTCTGAATACTTTTGGAATGCATTGCATATTATAGGTATAAATTTATCCTGATTACATGTTATGCTTTATTTACTAATACATTCTACCATCCATGAGTGGATATACAGATCAGAGCTTGAGGTCAAGCCTTTGCTGTTGTCCTGAAACAGTATCAGATTCTGTTGTAGAGACTTCAGATCATAGATTTCAAAGGTTCCATCACATTCACCATTAATGCTGATTGGCACACTGTCTGACCTCTGTGGGTGATGGACACTGATGTAAAGTAGCACCACCAGTATAAAGGTTATCATATAGGTTAGCCAATATGCTAACATATCGGTGGTAGGAAGAGGGAGGGAGTGTTAAAGATGTTACGAAATGAGAAAAGACAACATAAAAAGGAGGAAAAACAGACAGATATTCAAATAAATCAAATCAAATCACGCTTATCGTCACATCACATTAACACAGGTGCGAAGGTCAGTGAAAATCTTAGGTGCGTAGCCCCCTTATAGTACGTAAATATGAAAATATGTTTAAAAAATTTATATACACATTAGACTCTAAATATACACATCAATATAGACCAGTATATTGATATTGAGACCAGCACCATTCCCAGTGTACAGTTTATTCCCAGTGTAATGGTAATATAGGTTATGAAATAAAAGCTGTTATGTACAGTTGTACACATTTACACACATATATATATATATACATAACTGAAAAAGAAACAGCCCAAAATTTCTTGGGACTTACATTAAAAGTAAAGTATGTTTTTTCCTTCTCCTGTAAAGTTACCATTTTGGAGATACGAGGTTTTGTTCCGACAGCAGCGATATATTCTAGATATATTCTAGATTATACAAGATAGATATGATGAAGAGTAAACATAAGGAAAATAAGGGGAGAGATGTCACTGACATTATGATTCATATTCATACTGCTCACTCAGTTTCTCTCTCGTTCTGCTTTCAGCTTTGTAAGATTATGTTCTTCACATATCAAATAAATGCAACAACAAAGTATCCATATTTTTGTCTGTATTAAAGGGATAATCTCTCTCTCTCTCTCTCTCTCTCTCTCTCTCTCTCTCTCTCTCTCTCTCTCTGTAGCTCAGTTCGGGGAGGTGTCCCGTGGTCGCTATCGTCCGCTGGGCCGCAAGGAGGTGTTGGTGGCGGTTAAGACTCTGCGCTGGGGAGTGACAGAGAGAGAAAGGGGGGTATTCCTCAGCGAAGCGGGGGTCCTGGGACAATTTGACCACCCAAACGTGCTGAAGCTCGAGGGTGTGATCACACACACCCCGCCTGAGCGCATCATCACTGAGTTTATGGAGAACGGCCCCCTGGACGCCTTCCTCAGGGTGAGGGAGAGAAGAGTACACAACCTGTTAGCCTTTAAGGGTGTGAAAATGCACCCTGATGCGTCAGTCAGAAGGTGGTGATTCAACTGCACTGATTTTTGAATGCTAGAAATGATTACAGTAGAATATAATTATAATAATATTCAGAGTCCTAAGTAGTGTGTGGATTTGTCTAAATTGGGGAGAAAATAGGAAAAAAAAAGTAATTAAAAAAAAAAAATTGACCATAATAAAATTTCCCAGGCTCTTTTTTAGATGCATTATATTAGATTATAATACACATCATCTAAATCGCTTATCCTTCTGGGTCACGGTGGGGTGCTGGAGCCTATCCCAGCTGTCATTGGGCGAAAGGCAGGACACACGCTGGACAGGTCGCCTGCCCAATAGATTATAATAACATTCAATAAAATATACTTTTATTCCAATCCATATTCTGGGAATAACCAGAATATAATAATACACGTTATTAATAGAGTGCTTTTCATACATGTAACAGCTCAAACTGTTTTTCGAACAGGTGATGAAGTTCAGTAACAGTAATAAAAGAAAAGAAAGCTGGGTAACATTCGCCTGACGGTGGCTGATACACTGCAGTATTTTTTGTCTTTCAGGAAAATGAGGATCAGTTCAGTGTTCTGCAGTTGGTGGGGATGGTGAGGGGAGTCGGAGCAGGGATGCGGTACCTTTCCGAGAGAAACTTCGTTCACCGAGACCTGGCGGCCCGGAACGTTCTGGTGAACTCAAACCTGGTCTGCAAAGTCTCGGACTTCGGCCTGTCGCGTCTCATGAAGGGCCTGGACCACAACATGCCCACCTATACCGCTTCACTGGTGTGTTCTGGGATATGGCGTTGTTTTGGAAGTGTTTAAAAACAGTGAATTTTGAGGAGTCTTGTACATAATGTGGCTTTGTTCTGGCCACTTCTCTTCCCCTCATCTTCCCTCTCTCTCCCTTCTCTCCCTTCTCTCTCTCAGGGCAGTAAAATCCCTGTGAGGTGGACGGCTCCAGAGGCTTTTCAGCATCGGAAGTTCAGCTCTGCTAGTGATGTCTGGAGCTTTGGGATCCTCATGTGGGAGGTGATGTCATACGGAGAACGGCCATACTGGGACATGAGCAACCAGGAGGTGAGACGTGTGTGTGTGTGTGTGTGTCGTCTCTAATCTCACAATGATTGGATTTAATTATGATTATTTAGAAAATAATTCAGTTGGATTCAGTTATTTTCATATGATTCAGAATTGTTTTCAAAAATAAAACGAATTACACCAATATGTCCTGAGAAACTATGTACAGCATAGTGGAATATGGACAATAAATAACAACTAAGAGAACGACAGCCTGACAATTTTACTTATGATGCTACACTATATGGCCATAAGTATGTGGACACTTATATGTCACACCCATATGAGCTTCTTGGATACTTCAATCCAAAACCAATTCATTAATATGGAGTTGGTCACCACTTTGCAGCTATAACAGCTTCTGAGAAGCTTTCTACAAGATTTTGGAGTGTTTCTGTGGGAATTTCTGCCCATTCAGTCAAAAGAGCGTCTGTGAGGCCTGGCACACAATTTACGTTCTAGTTCATCCCAAAGGTGTTCAGTTCACCCCAAACTCCTCAAGCCATGTCTTTATGGAGCTCGCTTTGTGCACAGGGGCTCAGTCATGCTGGAACAGGAAAGGGTCTTCCCCAAACTGCTACCACAAAGCTGGTAGCATGTAATTGTCATCATCCTTCACTGGAACTGGGGCCCAAACCCTGAAAAACACTGCTTCACTGCTCCAGAGTCCAGTGGCGGTGTGCTTTACACCACTCCAGCCGACACTTGGCACTGCACATAGTGATTTTAGGGTTGTATGCAGCTGCTTAGCCATGAAAACCAATTTCATGAAGCTCCTGACGCACAGTTACTACAGTTACTTTACTCGGTGGCCCTGCACTATGAGTTTACTTGGTCTACCTGTCCGTGGCTGAGTTGTTGCTGCTCCTAGATGCTTCCATTTCACAATGATAGCGCCTACAATTGACAGGGGCAGACCTAGCAGGACATAATTTCACAAACTGATGTGGCAAAGGTAGCATCCTACGACTGTTCTACATTTAAAGTCACTGAGCTCATCAGTATGAACCATCCTACTGCTAGTGTTGGTCTATAGAGACTGCATTTGCTATATTTTAGCAATGGGTGTGGCTGAAATATATACTATATATATATATATATATATATATATATATATATATATATATATATATATATATATAATCACAATATTTGTCATAGGAATATCAAATATCATTCCAAATACATTTCAATTAAGTATTATTCCAAATACATCTCAGTTAAGTTTCCACCTCCAGACTGATGTATCATAAAGTCTTTGTACACCTCTGATGTGAGGAGTGATAACAGTGTCTCTAAGCCATTAATGTGATGTGGTTTGTATGTCATGATGAAAAATGCATGAAGGTGGTCTAAGGTAGACTGATGTGCGGCGGTGTATAAATCAGTGAGCTGATGAAGCTGTTGCATGTTTTAGTGTGTTTGAAGGTGCAAGTAGAGGAGGGTGATATGATGATGTGATTGTTAATGTGATGAATAACATCTCAGTGAGCTTTTCGGAGCATTATGTGGGTATCGTCCATACATAAAACGCATGATCAAAACATGATAACATGATTATAAATAAGGATGAAGTGATTTATCTTAGTCTAATGGTGGGTCTTTAGTCTTATGATAGTCATTAGAGGCCACTGTAAATAGAAACAGAAGGGCTATAATAATCAGTAGACTGCTTGAATAATAAGGGAATTTATTTGAAGTCCATGGTTTGATATTTGACAGCTTCATTTGCATCCTGTGTTGTAAACAGATGCAGCTTAAGCGACAAGTCACTGAAGAAATCAGCAGGGAGATATTTGTGCTGCATGTAGTGAACACTGTTTTTACAGTTTTGCTCTCTTGTTGGGAGATTATGATTATAATTGGTCCCGATAAATTAAAGAAGCACAGTACAACTTTTTCCAATCTTTTTTTGTAGCATCTTTTTTAAAAAATGTGGCATTACCGGTGCGTTGTGATTGCTCGTGATCGCGATGTCATATTTTTAGCTAGTTTTAGCCGTGAGTTTGTAGCGAAGGCAGTAGATCAGGGCTCGTCAGCTTCCAGGAAATTATTTCAGTGCACCAAACTGAGCACTAGAAAAAAATTGTATAGGAAAGCAGATTAATGTATCAAAAAAAGGTCATATTTCAGCGAAATACATAAATATGAAGCATCAAATCCCATGTTTTTATGTAAACAACTCATCAAAACAGAGACTACAGGGCCAGATAGATCAGAAACTGAATAATTTCACTTATTTTCATAGATTTTTATTTTATTCACTATTTTTGGTCTGAGTAGTGAAGCACAGCACAGCAAAGCCAACCCTGATTAAAAAGTCTTTAGATTAAAACCTGAATTAAAGCCAACAGTCTAAGGAGTGATGTAAAGGAATAATATATGCATATATGAATAATCATGCCAATCATCACATCAAGTTTGAACCTTTTTCCTCCTCCACCTTTCTCTCTCTCTCTCTCTCTCTCTCTCTCTCTCTCTCTCTCTCTCTGTGTAGGTGATGAAGGCCGTAGTTGATCAGTATCGTCTGCCCGCTCCTAACGGTTGCCCCTCTGCCCTCCATGCTCTAATGCTGCAGTGTTGGCAGGCAGACAGGCAGGATCGTCCCGGATTCGACTCCCTCCTGTCCTCTCTGGATCGGCTCATACGGCACCCGGCCTCCCTGAAGGCTGAACACGCTCGGTGAGAAAAGCATTAAAGGCTACAGTCTCCATCAGCCTGTACCACACCCGCTGTTGGGCTACAGTTACTTGAGTTGATTATTCGTCAGCGATGTTGATTATGGAAAACAGTCTCAACATTGTGCAACATAGAGAATTAGATTATTATCAGTTTCATATTTAATATTGTTTGAAAAACTTGTTTTGGAAAGAAAAATAAACATAAAATTTGCAATAGGCCACGTTTTATGTTATGTTTTTGTAATATCTGACTTCTAATTCAGTCCTTAAAATGTGCCGATGTTCCCTGTAGAGGATGTGTTCACTAATTTTCACTTTAAAAAAAAATCAACAAAATGTCATTTGACCAGGGGTGCACAGACTTTTGCATACGATTGTATAATAGATAGTGATGGCCCTAATCAGGGCTAAGTGCGCAGACAGAACTTTGTATCTTTGTATTCATGATACTCGCCTCGTAACACTATATCCTCCACTGGCTTCTTTCTAAGCCCCACCCAGCCCCTGCTTAGCCCCACCCCCACAGACTTGTCGTCAGTGACCACGGTCAGTGAGTGGCTGTCAGCGCTGAGGATGGACCGCTACGGGGACGAATTTGAGAGAGCGCAGCTACACAGCCTGGACAGAGTGAGCTTACTCACTATGGAGTAAGTACCTTTCAGGGGTGTATCGATGCACATTTTCAGGTTTGATACAATAATCAAGGTCAAGATTTGATCTGATTTTTGATATTCTGTGTGTTAAAAAGTCTTGATTCTACAGAGATCTAATTATGTACACTGTTAAAATGAGCAGTCAGCTCAACTTGGTTTTATATTGAAAATGATCACATACCTTTTCTCGCATTAACTCAACTTGAGAACACGAGTTCAACCAACTCAAACTTTATAGTTTTGTTCTCTAAATTTATTTAAAATTGTTTTTTTTTAACTCATCTCCAAAAAGCCAGGAGTCTTTCCATCACACAATCCTACTAGACACTTTCTCCACTTGGGTACTCACTTACGGATGGCTGTGGCATCGCTGGGGTTCGAACTCTCTCACTTGTTAGATGATGGCTTAGTTCTTTGCACCACTCAGGAACTCCTGAAGAACCTCAGATTTTTTTGTCTGTTAATGTTTAATACGCTGTAGTAAATATTTGTTGATGTAACTGTGGAGAGTAGCGCAGTCACATGTGATGCAGCTGTCTAATAATTCGTCCCAACATCAGGAGGTGGTGAGTTTGAATCCCAGCCATCCCACAGAGTCCTTACTAGAGGGGGGATTGAGTTAAACAACACAAGTGAGGCAGTTATAATTTTCTGGATTGTTATCTTGAGATCACAACTTATTTGATCTCTAGACATCAAAAGTTATCTTAAGATCATGACTTAATTATCTTGTGATCTTGAAATAACAAATTTGTTATCTTGAGATCACAAGATAGTTAAGTCATGATCTCAAGATAATAATCCAGAAAATTCTAAGTACCTCATGGCCTCTCTGGACTTCCTGTAGTCACTCACTCACTCACTCTCACACTCACACTCTCACACTCTCACTCTCACTCTCTCACACACACACACACACACCATCTAAACCACTTATCCTTCTGGGTCGCGGTGGGGACAAGAATGCGTGACCACACCCTATTGACATGTGGGAATGAGATCATAATGCGTGGCCATGACTTAGTAAGGCGAGAGAATGTAATAATTAAGTTGTGGCCACGACTTAATAAGGAGTGGGAACAAGATCATGCCTTAAGCCGTGGTCAAGACTCATTTGTCTCATTCCCATGCCTTACTAAGTTGTGGCCACGACTTAATTATAAGCCCCACCCACTTTACTCTGATTACTCTCCACCTAGCTGCCTAGTTTTAATACTGATACCAGTAATTTTACTTTTTTTACTTTTTTTGCTACCATAAATACAGATGTATGAAGATAACGTATGAAGTGCATTAGCATTTGGCAAGAGACGATGGCTGCTAACGCTTGCTGTCTCATATTCTTTAGCTAAATACATCGCTGAAAGGAGTTTTAATGACTAATTAGATCACTGAAAGGGTTCAGTGCGCTTTCCCTTCTTGGCTGATCATTTGTTTCACACCACTGGCTCTAATTCCTTTGTTGACTCAATAATAATATATACATTTCCCCATTTATCTGCTTATAATATATTTATATATGTTGTGCATCTTTATCAGAAATGTTTCACATACATGGCAAAGTAATTTAAGTGCCTTGTAAAAGGTGACTGTAATCACATTGTCATTAAAGTGAGCTGTACTGGTATTTTAATTGGTTATTAGTAGTAATAGTATTGAAGTATATCGCTGTTGTTAGAAGAAAACATCGTATCTCCATTTTTGTTGTTTTTCAGTTTTTGACATAATTTGAAAATACCTGTTGTCCTTTACATCGTGTGTAAATTTCATGATGAATGGACCAAAAGAAACGGCCCAAAATGACTTGGAAAAACGTCTGGTTCCATTGACTTACATTATAAGTAAAGCATGTTTTTTCCTTCTCCTGTAAAGTTACCATTTTGGAGATACGAGGTTTTCTTCCGACAAAAGCGATGTATTTTTAGTTATTAGCGAGTAAGAGAAACATCAGTACTGATCTATTTCTACCCCTCATCCCCTCTCCTCTCTCTTTCTCAGGGATGTGCAGGCATTAGGAGTGAACCTGTTAGGCCATCAGAGGAAGATAGTGAATGCAGCACAGCAGCTCAGGACTCACCTCACTCAGGGACAGGTGGAGGTTTAACACCCTGCCCATTACCGTGGACACTACAGTGCTCGGGCGTTCAGTCCAGAGCCTCATCCAGCCTACCCTGGAGCACAGTGCACACTCAGAGGAGGAGGATAAGATTATTGCTTTGGATTATTTATTTTGTTCGTTTGCCAACCCGTGCGTTCGTATTCCCCATCCCTTGGTAAACGCCCCCTTATAGACGAAAGCCAGCATTTTTCAGCCTAATCTCCATCTGCTGCTTCTGAAGTTGTAGTGTCGATTAACACAGACAATCATCTCAACAACATCTCACTTAGGAAAGTACTTACAACTCACAATAGAAGCCACTGGGCAGTTGCTGTGAAAAAATATTGGAAATATGTGACTGTAAAACACAAATCCAAAGCTACAACCACTCTACTTCCACTCCATGAGCGTTTTCACACTTAAAAGTCCAGACCAAGGTTCGTGGTTCTGTTACATTGTGTATATTTTTGATTTGGTTAGTTTTGTTTCACATTGCAATTTAGCGAGCGCACTAAAGAACTTTGCATGACACACCTACGTCCTGTTGTCATCACCTACGTAGGCTGGGTCTCCCTATGCTTAACACTGATAGGTCTATAGAGGAGCGTCTGACATTGGAGTGTTGTCAATTCAGTGTGTAGCCTTTTCTGACTGAATGGAGAAAAATGAATATCCCTCTCTCATCTTATCAGAAAATAAGGCAACTGTTTTGGCATTTTTTTATGCATTTTTCAAGCTGACTTTTGACTTTTTTCATCAAAGTACAGTGTATTATTTAGTCTCCTCTCCCCATGTGTTACCATGGCTCATTTTTCACTTCACTCATGTTTTTTTTTCTTTTATATTGTTTAATGGGCATCAATAGCCTGCCTCAACTTCCTGTAATTGGTCCAAAATCTGAACCTTCCAAAAATGCTGCAGACAAACCAAACCATGGTTCAGTTTGATCCGGACCGAGACCACCTCTTTTGGTCAGACCAAACTGTGGTCTGAGGCACCTTTCACTCCTGCTATTGTAAACAAGGTAGGTGTGAAAGCACCCTGCCTGTACTGAACACCTCAATGTCTGAGAACGTCTTACCAAAACTGCTCTTATAAAGTTTTATCCAGCTTTTTCAACACTGGAGCAACACAGTAAAAAAACAGGTTTGGTTACTTTAACTGTCCCTAAGGTTTTCTGGTATCCATGGCGATCAGACAGAAACTCTACCACTGGTGACAAATTACAACTAATTTTTCCCAATTATACATATTCACAGCTTAAACTTGTCAAACCGAGCAAATCTGTTTTGAGAATTTGGCCCCTGAGGAAACACTATGTAAGATTTGGGGATTTGGAGCCCTCTCTGGTGGAAACGTGTAATTGCATGCCATGTACAGAAGAACATTTTATAACATGGGTTGTGCTTCGGGCCCCCAACAAGCGGATGAATCTGACTTTTGCGAGCGCGTTGAAAGAGCAATCGAAGAGAACTCCGTCTAAACTCGGTGAAGGACACGTCTTCAGAGGATGTGAGTGAATTATCTACTATTGCCAACTTCATCAGTATAACGTTGATTCCACATTTGAGACCTGAACATCGAGCCGGACCTTCTTTTTGAGACTGTCCGTGTGACGTTAATATGTAAAGATGTACGACGTGGTCCGAAAAACTCCCACCAAATCTGTCCTGACACCTCTGACTTTTAAATAATCGTTTCAGGCTTCGCAGGGCGACTCGCAGCGGCGCAGGAACACCAAATTTTAGCATATTTTTTTCCTCCATACTCAGTAATGCTACTTCTTTCAGTTTTAACAAAAAAATATGATCACATTATCGATTTGTTTAATCAGAGTAATGATAAAACAAGACTAATGTGTGACTTATATTCCTGTTCCTGTATTTTCTTGTTTAATAGGGTAGTTCGTGAAACAAAACAAAAAATCTAGGAATTTTCAGCTTGTTAGAGCTCACATTCTTTATATAGCAAATGAATGCAACCACAGAGATTAATGGAGAAGAGTGGATTAAACCGCCGAAATGGGTTCATTTATAAATACCTTTAGAAACTGCCCGCTGGCTTCAATTATGAGACGACAGGGTTTTTTCTAAATACAAGGAAATGTGCTGAAATTGCTGACGTGCTCCGGATGCAGCAGATGGAGATTAGGTTCAAAATGATGCTGCTTTTCTTTATCATTACTCCCCTCCACACACACACTTGTTCTACACTCAATGCAGTTCACTAAGGATCAGCTATAAGCTTCGCGCCTCAAAGAAACCGAGGGAGCTCCGCCCACCTTCGAATGCAAAGACAATCAGAGACTTTTTAAGGACGGTGTTTGACTCTGGTGTCTATGTTAGTGTTATTTATCCGTTAGAAAGCCTGTTCTTCTTCTTCTCTGATGCTGGTTGGTTGCAGATTTTTATCATCATCAGTGCTCAAATGCTGGTGCTCCATCAGTCACTTTACGGTTTCAGTATTCAGCTAATTTGGCTCCACCCGTCTCTTTGGAGGACCAATCGGAAAGCATTTTGAGGGAAATTGAGACCATTCAATGTCAGGTAACATACAGAAGAGTTAATCACTGTTCGGACGGGATTGGGTTTACATTGGGAGGTAAAGTAATTCACAGGTTGCCTGTAATGTTTATGACAGATTCGCACAGGATAAGGAATCTGAAGCTACGTTCACTTTACAAGCCTCGTTGCTCAAATCCGATTTTTTGCTCAGATCCGATCTCTCTGACTCGAAGGTTCACACTGGTTTAGGTGACTCCAATCTGTCATTAATGTGATGAACCGGCATCCTGAAACGACCCTCATGAGCTCATCCTACTCAGTAACGTCACGTGAATGAATCACGTGCATCATCAGCACAAACTAACGAGCAGAACGAGCTTCGCTGAGAAGATCATTAACTCTGATCAGCTCTCAGCTTCATTCAGGACACACGGCCACAAATCGGATATGCATCTGATCTAGGACCACATATGAAAGTGACTCAGCTCGGATTTGAAAAGATCAGATTTGTGTCCACACAGCCCTGGAAACATCAGATCTGAGTCACATTAGGGCAAAAAATCGGATTTGTGCCACTTCAACCTGGTAATGTGAACGTAGCCTGAGTGTGAATCTCAGAGGTGGGAGTGGCTAGTCGAATTATGCACACCAAAAAAGTTTCAATACGTTCAGTTGTTCACAAATAGAAAACATGTCCAAACATTTAACTGAATGTTAGTTTTGTTTACCTGAACCATAAAGTTATATGCAAAGATTTTAACACTCCAAGTCAAGTTCAATGTTTTTTTGTTGATTTTATAGGTGAAAATAGGGCTACGTTCACATTACCAGATTGAAGAGGCACAAATCCGATTTTTTGCCCTAATGTGACTCAGATCTGATGTTTTCAGGGCTGTGTGGATACACAAATCTGATCTTTTCAAATCCGACCTGAGTCACTTTCATATGTGGTCCTAGATCAGATGCATATCCGATTTGTGGCCGTGTGTCCTGAATGAAGCTGAGAGCTGATCAGAGTTAATGATCTTCTCAGCGAAGCTCGTTCTGCTCGTTAGTTTGTGCTGATGATGATCGTGATTCATTCACGTGACGTTACTGAGTAGGTAACGTGCTCATGAGGGTCATTTCAGGACGTCGGTTCGTCACATTAATGACAGATTTGAATCACTTACCTAAACCAGTGTGAACCTTCCTCTACAGGGAACACACTTCTGCACATTTTATTACTGTTTATTTACTGAATTTTAACACAGTGCAAAAGTTGTGGCACATTTTATATTTAATGTTTGATTTTTTTCAAATATGTTAAACCAATAAACAGAAATTGTGGACATAAATTGTCAGAAACATATTGTATTTAAGCTTATTTTAGCTGGGATTAACTTTAAAAAAGTAATGAATCGTCAAAATAATTGCTAGATTACTGAAGGGCTCATGCAAAAGTTTGGGACCCCTGTCCAATTACGTTTGATTCATTTATTTAAGTGAAAATAAACACATTCTCAGCAGTGAGAACACTTAAATGGGTCTTTTTTTGGGGAAATTTCAGTACGCAGTTTTTATTTGTTGAGTTTGACATATTGGGAAAAACATAAAATATGAAATAACACATAGGCAATATCTAATTCAGTGAATAAACAGTATAAAATGTGCAGAGTGTTTTCTCTGTAGAGGATGTGTTAACTTATTTTTGAAAAAGTCAGTTTACACGTTTTAATATTTGGAGTTGTACACTTGAGGTAGGACAGTATGCTTAATTTGGGCCTCAGAGAATAGCAGGTTCTATAGCAAGTAGAATAAATGCTTCTCTGAGTGCCTTCATATCAAAGACAAGCAGCTAAAACTCTCTTTTCCAGTTGATATGATGAAATATTTACTGATATGGCCATCAGTAGATTATGACTATAGTGTAGTAGGTGAAAGCCAGTGGAATCTTTACAGATGCAGGAGTTTGTAAAAATGACTGACATGGCAATTTAGACTGGACTAGCGGAGAAACAACCCTCCATGTAAAACTAACCCCGTCCGAATAGTAATTTAAATTCCTCTCCAGTGTTTAGTAGCTTCACCCACGTCTCTGTTCAGAGGTCGCCACGCTGAGTAAGACGATGAGGATCACTCATTGCTAAGTGTTGTAAAGTCTTCATGGCGTTACATAATAAAAAATTATCTTGGGATTTTTACAATAACTTGCAAGTAACCTGCTGCCAGTACGCTGTTATACTGTAAACTGTAATGTTAGTACAGTTATATAACATTGTACAGTAAGCAGAAAGCCTTTATGTGCACGATCACTTAGTACACTGGACCGTTTTTAGATACCTCACAGTGGAGTGTCGGCTGTAGGCCAGCAGTGCTGTAGCGAATGGGGTTTCTTCCTTGCTTCTAGGGGTGGGCGATGTGGCAAACGTCTACCATTGCGATACTTGAAGACGTTTTCGTGAGCACGATACAATCACAGCGTTTAGTTTTTCTGAGTTTTGGGAAGTTGGAACGGACAAAATGCACCAGCAAAACAGTAGTAGCATATAAAAAACTGTAAGCACAATCATTTTTCCTGCGTATTTAGGAAAAAATAAAACAGTTGTTATGAAAAAAAAGGTCCAGACATCCAAGGCAATTCATACAGTTACACTGTTCATGGT